TCCAGGCCTGGAGACGGCCAACCCCAGCCACCTCCAGATCCCCTCGGCCACCACCCAGGGTGGCGAGACAGATCTTACCTTCATACTGGACCTCCAGGTGCACCCAGCACAAGCTCCACGAGGGCTGTGGGTGCCTCTCCCACCATGTCCGGGGAGGAAAAGGGCCCAGTGACAGGGACAGTCTTCACACAGTACTCCAGGCTGCCTTCTTCCAAGCACACAGGCTGCCTGGTGCAGCCCCAATGCAAAGGAGACTGGCACAGCTCTCTGCCAGGGCAGGAAAGGCAGACTTGGAAGCTCAGACTGCCCTTAGCCCCCGGCAAGGCCCACTACCCACCTGCATGACCCTCAGCGTCTGCAGAGCCAGCTGCTGGGGTCGGGGGGAGGTAGATGGCAGCACAGCTATGAGACCTTTGTAGACTTGGTTCTGGTACTTGGGATTGCCGCAGCCCAAAGAGTCCAGCAGAACCTGCACATCTTCTTGAGCCTCTGCTGAGTTGGAAGTGGCCAAGAGATCGCACCCCTGTGCAGAGAAAGAGATGCCAACTCGTGTGCCTGGATGAGTCTGGGTCACCCATTTCAGCTGTTTCACTGTCACCCTTGAGAGCACCCAGCATCACATGCCACTTAAAGTGTGGCTCAAAGAATGGAAGCCAGGAAAAATGTTGTTTGTCCTTGTCAGGAGCCACACCACCAACTGGAAAACCAGTTGGCAAAACTGTCAGCTGGAGTAGGTGGCCAAGGCCCTTCTGCGGGCACTTACACAAGCACAGAGTCTGGCACTGGGATGCAAACAGCGCTGCTAAGGATCCCTCTGCTGATTCTGCTGCTTTATCTCCCTTGGAGGAAGCTGTGATGGCAGGTATCACCCCATAGCCTCTGGCAACGTGATGTGAACTACAGGACAACTAACAGGGTTTGGCTTCCACTGCCCAGGAGAAAAAACAGGAAAAAAAACCTTGTAATGCTCTTTCAAAAGAGACAAGCTGCAAAACCCTCCCACCCCCAGAGGGGAAGTCTGGGAAAGTTTGCAGTAGGTGAACACTGCAGGTAAGATTGGAAACTGTTTTGTGGTTTTAACCAGAGCAGTTGCAACCAGCAGGACAGCAACATGGCATCAAAAGAAATGGCTGTAAAGAAAGCGAGCTCATTAAAAACTGAGAGAGGGGATGAAATGCAATTGCACAATAGCCGAGACTCTGAACTCCCTCCAGCCAGAGAAACGCTGCAGCAATCTGCCATCCGGCAGGTGGAGGGAAGGAAGTGGCTCAGTGCAGCAAGCAGCCCTGGGGGCCAGAGGTCAGGGAGAACACCCCCACCTGAATTAGGAAAAAGCACAGATGGACAGGCTGCCTACCATAGCTTTCACAAATGAGCTCCTTATACTTCCTGCCAGTGTCTGCGACAAGCTGCAGCAGCTTTACTGACTCCCTTTTGTCCTCTTCTTTCAGGTGGTTCAGCCCTAGTATTTCCAGGAGAATCAACACACCTCCGATCTCCAGAAATTCAATAATGTATCTGCATCTGCAGGGATAAGGGAACAAAGCCAAAAGTGTCACCTGCCTTGGAGCCCATCTTCCTCCATCAGCACACCGTGCCCGTGGGAACCATCACCTCCTGGCTCACTGCCGCGGGTCCCTGGTGCCCAGGCAGCGAACACAAGGAGGCTCAGCCTGGAGTGCCGAGGCAGATGCCCACCAGCAGCATGCTTCACTGCCAGCAGGTCAGCAGCTCCCGTTTTACCCTGTGCTCGTTTCAGATATTGAACCACAGACGCAGAAATCCCTGTCTCTGCACTCACACTCTCACCACACTCCTTCTGCATCATGTCAATGACCCGCTGGCTCTGGAGACAGGCCCAAACAGTGGATTTGGTTTTGAGAGCGTCTGAAATTCCTAACACAAGCCTCACTGGCGCCTGCCTTGCCTGAAATGCTTACACAGCCCTCCCAAAAGACATCCAAGGACTTGTTATTTTCTTTATCTACTCACCCTCTCACCCTTGTGTGCCTTCCCCACAGCACCCCTCACAGTGACATTCTATACTCACCCACTTGCAGCAGATAGGAAGATGCCAATGGACTTGAGCAGCTTGTTGAGGCATGTGCTGTACGTGTAGCTGTTTGATAAGGCTAAGGAGAGATTTACAGACCATCATGGTGTCCCCTAGGCTGCCTTTGACAATGTGGAGGTCTGAACTGGGTGCTCTCTCTGTGAGAGAGCACAGACCTTCCTCTCACAGGCAGGCAGAGGCAGCATGCTCATCCCAATATGAGAAGAAACACTAATTCTAGGTCCCTGAGAAACAGGTTACATGTCTTTCCCTTCTGTTCTATCTTTAGCCAGCCGGAGTTTTTTTAACTCTACAGAACATGTCTGGGTATGGATGTCTCCATACAGAAGCTTGCTCTTTAAACAGATTTTTGGTAGAGAACTTTCCCTTCCTCTCCATCCCACTACCACACGCCACCTCCAGCTGTCCAAGAAAACAGATACGTCATCCTGAGCCATGTTGTTAGGCGAGCCAGAAACAAGCTGACTCCCTGGGAGAACTCCAGCTCCAGCTCTGGTTCTGTCTTGCCATTATTGCTTTTAATGAAGTTGTCCAGGATGCGGCTTTGAGCAACTTTGTGGGCACTATCCCATTCGTGCAAGAAAACCATAAGCTTCCTGATGGCTTCCTGCTCTTTGGCAGAAGTCATGATCTCTTCTGCCTAGAGGAAAGTGAGAAAGAAGTTAAAAAAGGGCTTTGAAGACAGAAAACATCTGTACTAAGGAATTACCACCAGACTCACATTTGAAATCTCTGGCAAAAGATATTAAAGCACTTAGTATCCATTAATTTAATCTCATTTTCCTTTACATTCATTTTGTAGATAGGAAAACTGAGGCAAAAGGAGAGTTCCTGGTATATCTGAAGCTGCACAATGCACCTGCCAAAGACTTGAGATTATTTTCCAGGGCAGGTGGCTTCACCACAGGAGCTCTCTTTTCTGCTCTGTTAATAAAGTCATTTTGATGTTACCCATTACCCCAGCCTTAGCTTCTCGCTAGCCTCATGATATGAACACTGCATCTCATATCTGACCTGCCAGAGAATAAATAAGGTGAAATGAGAGCACGAATAGGTATGGATTTACAGGGAGTGACAGGGTCAAGGGGGCTGTAAATGCCTGTTAGCACAGCAGCGCAGCGTGCCCTCACTCCTGTCATGGAGCAACAGTCATTTGGACTGGGTCCACATCCACTCCAGGAAGATGTGCTTGGCCTTGGCAGTGGGAGAGACCCTTTGGCATGACACGTTTGCTCTGGTTCTTATCTAATTTCTATGGCATGTTTTTAAGCAATCTAAGAAAACTTGAAATGATTAGAACTATGGGCAAGAAGACAGAAGGTCCAGAAACATCCATTGCTTGCAGTTCCTTTCACCCCTTCACACGGGTGTTAAATAAAGCAAACCATATTTTGCCAAATTTCTTTGGCAGACTTTTGGCTTAGTATGATATCCCCTATTCCATCTTGACAAATGTGAAGGTGCGCTTATTAGGTGGATGAAATGTCAGAGGATTAAGCTCTCCATTCATTCAGGTAGGTTAGAATTCCACTGACATGTATGCATTTGGCCTAAAGACACTGGCCAATCTCAAGGAGCCTTGCAGTTAAACATCAGTGTCTGTGTATATACACAGATGCAGGAAGAGGGACAAGGTCACAGACAGCTGCATCAACACAGGTGCATTGTCCTTCACCAAGCTGTATCAACATGCCTAAGGATAAGAAAGGAATTCACACCTCATCTAATACAGTTCTTGGACTTCCTACGTAAGAAAAGCACCATTTTAGGTTTTATTTAAAGTGTGGTTTAAGAGGAAAAAAGTTAAAATGACACAAAATCTTTGAGTTTCAGAACGTTTCTTTCAAGTCGCCAAGATTACCAGTTTCCTATCTACAAAGTTCTTAAGCATTTTCTCCTAGAATCTGGAGCAAAATTCCAAATCAGTTCCAGAATATCCCCAAGATACCTGCTGAAAAGTAACTTTCTATTGCTATTATCTGAACCAGACTGAAAACAATGACCAAGAGGTGAACATGTACCTCAGTGCCTGAAAGCAAACAAACAAAGTCTTCAAAAAGCTGGCTAAGAAACAACATTTGAGAATTAAGATGAGATGAAATTTCATTTAGGAATTAACGGTCTGTGCTCTATAAGGAGTCTGTGTCCTTGGCAGGGCGTTTTCAGGATCTCCTTTGCAGGGAAGCAGGTTTAAAATAAATCCATTTTCCCAAAATAGTTGTGATTGAAAATGTTATTAGCCATAACAAATGTTAGTGCTGACAGGAGAATGGCCTGTTAGGGGCCTCTGGTGAAACAGTCAAGTGAAAGTCATATTTCACATTATTGCAAGCATTTTCCTGTGATTTACAGAATATTTGTGAAACATTACTTGCAAGGCATATGATTGATATCCAGAGAACAGCTAGTGTGTAGAGGGAATCTGTATTTCACAGAGACTGTTTGCATGAAATTTACAGTCCCATAAAGTGCTCCTCTGTCCTCAACAGAGATCTAGTTAAAAGAACTTTACAGTCTGAAACATCCCAAAATTGATTCTAAATTAAAGTTTCCATATTTATGTTTAAGATGCTGGTGGTGTAATGCTATCCTATTTTTATTATAAAGCTGCAGTAACCCCCCACTATTCAGAGATACCAGCACCAGCTTCTGGACGTGATGATTTTAGTGGTACAAAGGGCTTGCCTATGAGTTAATGGCAAAAAAAAAAAAAAAAAAAAAGAGTTTGAAACAGTAATCACATGAGGCTTCTGAGTATACAGTGGTACCTGTCCCTGGCTGCTATAATAACAGCATCTGCTGACATAGTGGTCTTTAAGCTGACATTGCAGAGTACCCTGGAAATGTACAGGAATATTTTTATTATGACCATTTTACATATGGGAACATACAGACACAGGGAAGTTAAATTACTTGCCTGAGTCGTTTGTCAGTGCTAGCATGAGCACGTAACTCCTGTTTGTTGGCTTCAAACTCTGCTCTCAACAGTGCTGGGCTGCCACCCCAGTCCATTGGACCTAATTATGAAAACAAGTGTGGGTCAGGGCAGTGCTTTATTTCTGCCAAGAAAAACACAAGTAATTTAGGAACTGGGTCTGGCACTTCAGCAGTTCTTTACATCCAGAGGGCTGCTATATCATCAGATTGAGATCAAAAGGCAGACAGGTGCTGCGTCAGCCTCAGTCCGAGTGTGAAGTATCAGGGACTGGTAGCCTTGAACTCATGGAAGGACAGAGTGACGGTGATTTGGTGTTACCTTTGTATCTTGCAACATCAAGGTTGTGCTCAGCTTCAAGCAAAACTTAGAGCTTCTGTTTCCCTAGTGGGTTTCAGCCTCTCCTGGCATACCTCAAGTCCCCCACAACCCTTCTCACACACCATGCACCTTCCTCAGTGTACCCCACTGCCTTCTACCCAGCCCCTAACAACCCGCAGTCCCTCTGGCCCCTCTCTCACCTACATGTCCTGCCTCCCAGCCCCACTGTTAACCCCAGCCACAACCCCAAACCTAGCCCCTGCACTCCTCTCATCCCCAGCCAGGCCCTGCACTGACCCCCACATCCATCCCAGCCCCTACCCCTCCTAATCCACTGCAGCCTCAACATTCCCCACCCCAGGCCCAACCATCCCACCAGGCCTGATCCAGCCCAACCGTAGACCCTGTGCTCCCCCACACCCCAAAAAACCACCCTAGGCCCTACAGTCCCTCACACGCTCCCTGACCCCAGTGCCCATCCCAGCCCCCGTGTCCGCTCCCCCCCGACCCAAA